CTGTACCTGCAGAAGTCCCACTGTTGCTCTGAAGGATTTTTTTTACAGCAGCAGAGAAGAGATGATAAAGTGTGAATCCTTGTGGTGAGTTAAAAAAATAGTCTTCACAGAATCCTTAGACCTCGATAGAGCACAAAATCAAGGATGTAAATATTTTACAATGTTTTGTTATCTTAAACAGTTTGCAACACCGGCTTGAAGGGAATCCAACTTAACTTCAAGTCTTTAGGAACTCAATTAAACTTTTAAACTTATAAGTGATTTTTTTTTCTCTTTTTTATTTTTAGTAGTCATACATTTGCTTTATTTTATTTTCCAGACCTCATGAAGGTGAGATGATTATAAATCACAGAGTTCTGGTTTTAAGGTCCAATACCAATTATGAGTGGGAAAAGCTTTATTTACAGTGTGGGGGAAAAATTCTGCAGATCACAGAATAAACTAATACTGCTGATTATTAAATGTGTCCGATTAACTGCTAATTATTTTTATTAAAAAAAATTAAATTCTGGTGCATCTCTTGTTGTCAACTATGAAAAGCATGGAACACTGAAAAAAATTATTTTTCTTCACTCGTAACTGTTTAACCACAAAGAACCTTGCCAAGCTGGATTATAAAACCTGTTGCAAGCTACACCTGACACAACGCTCCTTCAGAGTAAAAGCTGAACTCAATGACCCTTCAGGGTCCCACCAACGCTGTCAAACACCTGTCGCTTACCTGGAGGCAATCTCAAGACTAGTCTGTCGTACCGTATGCTGTTTCATCGGCTCTGGTACCAAAGGGGGGTCCGAGGACCTGGCATTCTGGATCTACAACGGAGGTCTCCGCCCAGGGTATGTAGAGCGTCAAGATGGCGTCTGAATGTGGTTTTGAAACTCCGACTATAGTTTAGAGCAAAAACATTCACTCCCACACAGAACTAATGCTTCTCCGGAAACGAGAGTTCTGATAACAACATTCCACATTTACACCATCCATCTTGCCTCATTCACATCTAGATCCATTCATCACATAGAGTGTTTAGAGTTAGTTAGCCTTGTTTTAAATTGTTCAGAAATAAATCTTCTTCAACTTTATAACTTGTGTCTCTCTCTTTTGACTCTGGGTTAATATGACGTGTTACCTAATCCCTGCAATAAAAAGTTCCGATCTTCTGTTTAAAGTAATATTCAAAGATACATCAAATTGATTTCATATTTTCTATGGAATCTCACCTTTGATGGTTCCTTACGTAAGATGTAACTAAAAAAATCATTACAGTTGTAAATATAAAGATAATGAAGTAAATCAGTCGATGAATTAAGAATGTGCAAATGAAAGTGGATTAGATTTAGGTCTTGATGGAAAAGGAAAACAGCCTTCCAGGCAACTTTCTCAGAAGAAAAATGTAAAAAATGTAACAACAAATTGATAAATACCACATGTTGGGTCGCTCTGTTTGCAGAAGTCTCCTTGATTTAAGTAAAAGTCAAACTTGTGTTGTAAATGGTTTGCTCTCTAAAATCTAGAGGAGTTCAGTTCTAGGAGAATAGTTGATGGTCGTTTTTCCTGGTTTGTTTAACCCTAATGAACAATTGTTCTATCAGACTGACTGGCAGCATTAAAATCAAGGAGTGTGTTTCCCCCACACTCTGCTGGAGATTAGAAGCTGAAGTGGGTAGATTCAGCTCAGCGGGGGATGATAGGGTTCTGTCACTTTAGTCCTGTTTGGTGTACTAGAGAAAAAAGGTAACAACCTGTCCAGGTTCAGGGCACAATCATTAGATACTGGAGCTTGTGTGAGCTCATTGTGGTGAATTCAGTAATGCAATAATGAAGTTAGATTTAGCTTCACATCACTGGTTTGGACAAAAACTCGTGACTGTTTATTAATTTATGGAGAATGTAATTCAGTGTGGCAGATGCAGCAAGCCGCAGCCAAGTCTGCATTTGCTGGATTAAGCCAAACAAAAACTCGATGTTTGTAGCATTTACGCCAAGAATAATGTTATAATTGTCCATTAACATTGGGCAAATATCAAAGCTATACTATTGTTGTGGTACATTAATTACAATTACCAGTTTATTTAATTTTTATTATTACTTTTTTAAATAATTTATGTTTTTCTTCTTTTAATAAGATGGGAGCCAAAATGTGCTCCACCAAGGGACCGACCAGGACATCGAAGGGTTAATGTCTGTGTTCCTCTGATGGTGTACAAATGAAAAACCTTGTTGGCACTTTCTGCTAAGTTATAATGTTACAAAAAAATGCATACTTCAGTAGACTTGTGTAACACAAATGAACCTAAACTTTCTGTGTCACTTCTAATTTACACTCTCATTTAGTCCACAATCACATTTGGTCCACCAAATATAATTTCTTGCTGTTTTTCCAAAAATAATAATAAGTACCAAACATTGTTAACAGAACAAATGGAAGTGCAAGGACGATGAAAAGAGATCCCCGTGTTAAACCGTCAGATGAGTAGACATTAAACCATCGGAGCTGGAAGGAAGAACTCGGTTACACCAGCAGACAGTTACTCCAACACCTCTTGTTAGAGACAATGTGTAGTTTTTACTGTTGATCTCTGGACATATCCAATTACATGCTGTTGCAAAGTAATTAAATGATGCCCAGTTGTTGAAAAACCCGAAAAATTGGGTCTAAAATACATGAGAGCGGGTCTAAGTATGGGCGACGCCATATTAGACACAATGTTTTCTTCAATGGGAACCCGTGAGGACAAAATTAATTTACTGATTTGTCACAAACGATTACAACTCTTTCACCATTCATGAATGCCATTGTTTTACACATTTACCTCTTCACTTGTTGCTAGTGATGAAAGGGAGTCTGATGTGCTTGACGTTTTGATGGAGATTGAACAGGGATTTTTGACCCTAATGTCCATCCGTTAGTAAAGTCTTACTCAAACACAAAAATACAGCTTGCTTGCAATGATTTAAGTATGTACTGCCCCCTATCGCCAGGGAAAATACACACCGCCACTTTGAACCTCCGTAAGATAAGTCTGGACTTCACTCATGGATTATGGATGAAGACGGCAACCAGCTGTAGAGAAATTCATATTTCGTAAAAGGTTAAACTCACTGCTCTGCTGACCTCACTACATATGTCACATGATACCACTCACGCAGGATCCCAATCACCTCCCTTGTGCTATAAAAACACCCCATTCAAAGACAAGAGAACGTCAGCCACCCCACGTACTATTGACTCGAGCAGAGCTGCAGTATAGTAGACCTCATTGAAGAAGGGATGAAGCTGGTTAATATGTGCAGCTGAAAAGCAATGAATGATGTCTGAATACAGATAGGGTCCCTGGGATGTTTGAATGGGTGGTTAAATGTGGTGAAATCCCTTTTTTCTTCCTAGTGTAACAACAGAGGGTCACTGGTTTATTCGAAGAGAAAACTAGAAGCATTTGGAACCTGATTGTGGGTTATTTTTTACCAGAGATGAATCTTTTGTTGGTTTTGTTGTGATGACGCAATAAATATGTTAAAGCAAAGAATGTAGTTTTCATGAGTACATATGGGCTAGACTGTTTTACTAAACAAACCAAACTAAGTTAGGAGCTCCAAACCCTGTGGCTGTGGGAGTGGACACAATCAGCAGCATCTGTTCACACATGGTATCAGGATCTGCTTCTATAACCTCTGGTGTCTCATCTCTCTTGTTAGTGTTGATTGAACTCGCCTGCCCCTCGTTACCTTACCCACCTGATTATCCTCATCTATTTAAACCCTCTGTTTGCTCTGATCTTGGTCAGATCCTCGTCTTGTCCTCCTGCTGTATCATCCTACCTACCATTATCAATATTAACTAATTCACTGTCAGCCATTTCCTGATCAGAAAAGCCCTTCACTACCAGCGTTTTTTTAGCATTTTCACTGCTTTTTAAGAGTCACAGAACGTTGTGCACTAGGATGATGTCGACACCAAAACAACCAAAACAACCAAAACAAAGAGTAGACTAACCTCTTACATCAGGACGAAACTGCGCGTTTCGAGCTTTATCCGTTCTTTCATAATCCGCTGTCAACTTGTGATCGGCAGAAGCTTTTCCGGTTCGCGCCTCTTTTTTTTTTTTTGTTTACAGCAGCGGCCCAAAACGATCTCCTAACACATGGATTTTCTGCTTCCTGATCACGTGACCTGTGACGTACGTGGATGAAGATTGGCTTTAGAGCTGGGATGTTTGTTCTCGTGGTTTGGGGGCTCGTTCCCATGCCCAAACAGTAAAAAACATGCAAATTACAACTTTAGTCGTCATTGGCAATTAATGATTAAAACATTTATTTTGCCTGCCAGTCTGCCTCCTGCCTGCTATCGCCTGCATTTTGGGTCCTAACTCCATATCATGACACATGGATCTCAATAATTAATCAATAGTTTTATTTTCATATCAGAAACAATGATCACATAAACTCGCATAAGTATTCTTGTAAAAAAAATTACTCTGAAATTTTACTAAAAATTACAATGTAAAACATAAAATTACTGAGAAAATTTATTCTCAGTTGTCTAAAATATTGTGGAATGTTTCCAGGTCAGCCTTTTGCCATTATGGTTTCCCCCTTTTTATTTATTTTCTTCTATTGTTTAAGTCAGAAGTGACTGTTGTCAAATGAAAAAGATTCACTTTTATAGAAACACTGTTTGAACACAGGATCCATTGGTAATGTCTTATTCATAAGAGTTTATGTTAAATAAATCTGATTTGTTGATACTGTCATACATCTGGACTGAAGGGAATTATGGCAAAAATAGCAACTAAAGTTGTGTTTATTCATTAGTCATCTGATCAACATGATACATCACATCCAGAACACCTACCTGCAGCCAGCCTGTGGGACTATTTGTGTACCTGTGGAGAAGGTGCATGGTACCTAAAATGCCCCATAACCTCTAGACAGCGTACTAATAATCAGGCAGCAAGTAAGAGATTAGATTCTTATCCTTTTCTTATATTCTGATATTTTACAGGCCTTTTGACACTTGTGGCCCCGCTGGATTTTGAAGTTTCCCGGGAGTATTACCTTTCTGTGGAAGGAAGTCGCGGCAAGTCATCCCTCAGTGACATCACAACGATCATCGTCAATGTGACGGACGTGAACGACAACACACCGGTGTTTGGACAGGGCGTCTATAGTGCTGAAATAACAGAGGATCTGACACCTGGAAGCCTTGTGATGAAAGTAAGAACCAAAACATTCAGATGGAGATGAAAACATTCATGAAAATAAAAAGTTTACAGTTATTTTCAACGTTAAACCCCAGTGATGGAAGTATAGAGTACCTTACTAAAGATATACACATTTAGGATGTTATTGTGATGAGCTGCCCCCCCCCCCCCACACACACACACACACACACACACACACACTATGATTAGAGGAAATCAGAATAAATGGAACACAACAGGCAGCTAAACACAGTGACTCGATGATTTTATGTCCCGTTGTTTTCTGACCACCAGGGTTAGGGTTTGGTTTCTGTTTCTTGTTAACATGGATTCACTTCATTATAACATAATACACTTAAAATGTACAGTTTAAGAGTTACACTTGTGTTTATTTTTAAACTGAACACGATTTAGTATTTTGATCATTAAAAGCTAATGGGGTTCAGTTATTAATTAATTAATGCATTGAACGTTTATAGCGCTTTTCTAGACACCCAAACACACTTTCACACAGGGGCGGATTAAGGACTGAAGAACATCCGGGGCTTAACACACACACATACGCGCACACACACACGTGACACGCACTAGTCAACATCATATATGTCTTGTACCACATAATTTTTAACCTGAAGCTACATATTAAGCATTTTCAGGGCAGAGTATTGTTCCTGTTAGGGTTTAGTGTGAGATGATAGTAAATATTCCCGTTCTTTCTCCAACAACTTTACCTGATAGTAAGCTAACTTTAGGCAAACCAGCAGCACAACAAATATTTTCAAATGAGACTCACAAACCTGAGTCAGCACCAGTCTCATCAAAGCTGGGGTTCTGTCGCCGTACTTTTGGTCTAAAAAACGTCCTTATGTCATGCGTTTCAGACAGAGAGTGTAGAAGAAGCCGGCTGCTGAAGGGCTTCTTCTTCAGTGGTGGAGGCTCAGGCAGGCTGTATACAAACTACTGCCAGCTGCTCCCTCTCTGTTGGACTTTGGTACTGCATGTTAGTCTAATGAGCTTTGAAAGAAACAGACATACTGCATGTTACTTCCGCGATTTAGATCCGGGGCTTCCTATGAAACATCCGGGGCTTCAGCCCAGGTAGCCGGGCCTAACGCCGCCCCTGCTTTCACACACTCTCACATTCACACACTGCTAGTGATGGTAAGCTACTTGTAGCCACAGCCGCCCTGGGGAGGTCTGACAGAGGCAAGGCTGCCATTTGGCGTCGTCGGCCCCTCTGACCACCACTAACACAGGCAAGTTGGGTGAAGTGTCTTGCCCAAGCACACAACAGCAGGACACCCCTGGCAGGAGCTGGAATTGAACCCATGACCCTCCGATCATGAGGCAACCCGCTCTACCACCTGAGCTACTGCTGCTGTTATGGCAAAAAAAGGATTATGAAAACAAAACAAAGAAGGCGATGTGTATTATCACAACTTTTTCTCTGTTCACTCAGTGTAACTTAGATCAGTATTAATTATTGAATTTTATTGCTTGACCGTGGCTGAGGAGATTACAAAGACTGGGCCTTGGAAAAGGGAGTTTATTCACTCTCAGTGATGATGTAGGCTCACTTACAGGCACCATGGTGATGGGAACTGGCCACAAGATAGAAAACGAATGCTAACGGAAGTTGTAGCCCTGATGTGTCTATATGTTTGTTGTAACCAATAATCAATCAGACTCTTTGAGAGGAATTCAAATGTGTGGGAGTCTACAAAATAAAGTATATTTTTTTGCAGAGGGGAGCACAGGCTGTTTTTGAGGTGGCCAGCAATTTTCTCTTCAATAGCATTATTCAATTAAACCAAAACTTTCATGAAAAAAATTGTTTTAATAAAACATCAACTCTTAAACGTGGCTAACTCTTTGAGATCATTCTTAAAGTTTCTTTTTGAAAGAAAGTGAAGCTCATATTGACATTTCAACGAGCTGATCTGGTCTTGTTCTAATTAAAACTAAAGGGAATAACAAGGGGAAAAGCTAAATGAAACAACACTATATGTTTTCTTTTTATCAGACTCATGGAGTAAATCAAGGACAAAACAATTATTATTGCTAAAACAATTTATTGTAAATTTAAATTAAAGGTCACAGCTGTATGCAGGAGTGTGTTAATTTGGTCTGAGCTGTTTGAGCTCTGAGGCAGAATAAAATCAAATGAATATTTTAATTTGTATATTGAATAAATTCTCTCTTGCAACAAAAATGAGCCACAGGTAATTGAAATGAGGAATAAAAATATTTATTTGCTTTATTTTTAAATATTTTACCATGCAAGGGGAGTTTCTCGTGGATTAAAATGATCAGAACCACAAAAAAGGTTTTATTATAAATTCGAACAGGTCAGCAGATTCAGTTGTGACTGGTTGTGACCTAAACCTGAAACCCAAGGGAACCTTTGTGTTCATGTGAAGATGTCTTCATCACTTTCCCCACAGGTGACGGCCACCGACCAGGATGGTCCCGTAAACAGTCGGTTGCGGTACTCGATCGTGAGCGGAGACGTTCAGCAGCAGTTCTCCATTCACCCTCGTAACGGTGAAATTACCATTCGAACATCACTGGACAGAGAGGAGGTCAGCCTCTGTCAAAATAAGTAAAAGCAAAGTAAGATCTAAATTAGTCTCGTTAAAAGCCCAGTTCTTCCTTCACAGATCCCTCATTACTCACTGACAGTGCAGGCAGCTGACGAAGGAAACCCTCCTCTGTCGTCAGCGGTCCTCGTCACCATCACGATCACCGATGTGAACGATAACCCGCCGATCTTCTCTCGGGTCAGCCACAGTTTGGTGCTGCAGGTAAGAAGCTGCTGTTGATACTCTGCTAACATGTGAGCCAAGCCAGCCTACACAGGTTGTTGTGGTGTCATCTGTGTTGGTGCATGAAACATTCTAGCTTCCAGATGTTTTGTAGTTTTGTTGCCGTGGATGGGCCCATGTTGGCTGCTGCACATTTTGTCTGGATGAGGCTTCCAGTTTGCTGCAGGCATGAAATGAAAAGCCTGGCCTACGCCGTGCTGTTCCACAACAAGTTGTAGTTTTTGTATGAAATACTCAAGTGCAACACAAAAAAAGCTAAATAAAAGGGCTAAAATCTTCAAGAAATCCCAGTTTAAATCAAAGCTGTTGGTATTTGTTCCTCAGTGTTATCTAAAAGTGTCTTTTACATGATTGGGGAAGGTGTTGACAGTTTTTATCACTTTTTTCACTAACAACACATCGATTTGACCTCTGCAACACATGATATGGAAGAGTGAGCAAGTCGTCCCAACAGGTTTAGAATTTTTTGCAGCATTTGTTTTGTGCTCAGAGACCATCCTAGTGTGCAGTTGTAAAAATATGTTTCTGCAGCCAGAGGTCAAAGCAAACCAGACACAATCCCACTCTTCAACAGTCAACAACTGATACGTCAAGAGACAAACAAATAAATAAATAATTATCCACTACAACGCCCGGGAATAAATCATCTGCTCTTCAACTCCCACAAATGACCTCCAGCGTCCTGAAGAGGGACAGCCGTGCTCATGTGTGCTTCCTGATGACTCGAGCATGAGCAGCAAAGTCGGCTTCTCTCACAAGCCTGTTGAGATTTCAGTTCACCTCGTTAACCTAAAATGAAGCTGCAAAAACAAAGTCAACCAGGCTGTAAACCTCCACCTGTTCCTGCGTGACAGCCTAACACAGGGATAAGAAAGACAGACGAACTGAGAACTAGGTTTAATTGAAGGCAAATCAACAGAAATCAGTCATTAAGGATCCGTTTGTCTCTGCTTTTTTGTTCCTCCGGCTGAAAAATGTTCACTTATGTGCTGTTATTGGTGATTAAATCAATGAGTGGAAAACAAAACAGGGATTAGTGTCTGTACTTAGTGGGGATCATAACAATCTGCTGCCATGATGTGTTACTTGTGTGACTGTGACTGGCAGGACAGAAGTAGCACTCCTTCAGGTTAAACCTCTCATTAAATTTCTGTGTTTGCTGGTGTGGAAAAACCTTTAACGGGCAATTTACTTTCACTTTGGTGCTGGTGAAAGCTTGTGTTTGAATGTTATGGATCAACACACCTGTGTTCACGCACGCGCGCGTGTGCGTGTGCGTGTGTGTGTGTGTGTGTGTGTGTGTGTGTGTGTGTGTGTGTTCACACTGGCGGGGCTATCAAAAGGTTGCAGCCATGCTGGTCGTTTCTCGCTGACGCCATTTCCTTTGCATCACTCTAACCGTTGCAGGGCTGCCAGCTTGGAAACTCCAATCCAGTCACAGAATAGCTTGTTCATAAGAAAGAACGTTGCCAAATGTTGTGGCCATGAATCCAAACTGTCTGTAAGAGTCCCATCTGCTGATGTCTTCACAGCCAGTTCGGCCTGATGAAGGAACTCTGATTGCATTGAGCAGATGGATGCTGCTGAAACAGGGCAAATAAGTTGCTGCTTTTTTTTCTAGACAGGTGTTGCACGTTGACAGGAATCTGGATTCTCACTCAGGTTGTTATTTACAGACCTTTGTTTGACTATTTGTCACTCGCAGATGTCTGCTTTTACGAGTGACACATCTGTTGCAGCAAAAGAAGTAAAGGGGCTGCATCTGGGTGCAGTTGAGAACTTTACTAAGAGCAACAGATGGACAGGTCATTTATTTTCTTCTGAGCACATCCACAAAGAATGCAGCAGTTCTGTGGCAGAGTGATGAATCAGGATGAATGTATGCTGCTGAACTGCACACTCTGGAGAAAGTGGAAAGAAATTGATCATTTTTACTCTAAACCACTGAAAACGTGAAAAATACTAGTGAGCAAGTTTCACCCTCTGAATCACCCCATTAAAAGTTTCTTGAATTTCATCAAGAAGGGTGTCTGGGCTCTTAGAGATGGTGTTAGAAGCTGATCTGCTGCTCCTCCACATCGAGAGGAGCCAGTTGAGGCGGCTTGGGCATCTGGTTAGGATGCCTCCTGGACATCTCCCTGGTGAGGTTTTCTGGGTACGCCCAACCAGGAGGAGACATAAAGGAAGACCCAGGACATGTTGGAGGGACTGTGTTTCTCGGCTGGCCGGATAACGCCTTGGGGTTCCCTCAGAGGAGCTGGCCCAATTGGCTGAGGAGAGGGAAGTTTGGGCCTTCTTGCTTAGGCTACTGCAGCTGTGACCCGACCCAAGAGGAATGGAGACATTTCCTCAGTTCACATCAGAATAATCTCTTCTCCTGCTTCAGACGGTTCCTAACTGCATAAAATTAGCTGGAAATGCCCTAATAGAAGCCGTAATGAGAGCTGTCTGAATCTTCTAATTACTACAGAAAAGGGTAATCAGTTCTGCTTTCAGTATCCACTCTAGTTAAAGGAACACTACAGCCTTTTTAAGGAAAGAAGAGGGCAATTCCCTCCCATAACTCTTTTATATTTTTGTTCTTTCAAACTTTATTTGAAAATATCAAAAGCCAGAAACACACAATACAACACAAAAACCCAAACGTTTGCCTTTGGTTTCACTTGCAATATTAGTAACTACAAAGTAATATTACCTGTTTTCTTGTGTTTTGTGAACTGTGACACGCTAAAAAATATTTTGCAGAACACTAGTTACTAGTTACTAGTTTTGGTACTGCTTACCCATTAAAACTGTTTCCCCAAAGTTATAAAGAAAGCAACATGTAGAGATAAATATTTGTGTTTTATTTTTGAGTATTCGATCAAGTCCTTCATGCATGATTTAAAGTGCCTAATCAGGTTGTTAGAGATGACCAATCAGAGCTGAAACCTTTAAAGGAGGAGGCCATCGTCTGTAACTTTTTCTAAAACAGCAAATATTAAATAGGAAATAGTTTTTGGATTTCAAACAGGATTTCATTTGTTTTTCTACATTTAAATCATGTGAAATCAGAAGGTTGGAAACTTGACCCAGGGGTGGTTCTAGGGGAGAGGGGGTCCAGGGCGAGCCAGTGCTACCCCGACAGCAAGCTTGAAGCCCCTTGTGCTTAGGGCAGAGCCTAAGCATGAAGTTTGGATTTGTTGTGATGATTTAGCCTAATGTTGAACGTGGAACCGAATGTGTGAATGCAGTTATCTGACATTGAAAACAAAAGCATTAAAGCAAGTATTTTCATGTTGTTGCTGAGAGACATAACTCAGATAACACTTCCTTTTGCAAAAATGTTCTTTGTTGCAACTAAATAAAAAGTTGTTGCATCTAAAGTAACTTTAACTAAATTACTGTTATTATATATTTGCAATTACAAATTAAAACTTATGATAAAATAAAATAAAGGTTCTAAATAATTGTGGTTTCACAAGAAAAAGTGTCTTACTGGAGCTAATTCAATGTTTAAGTTTAGTTTAAGGTTTAAAAACAGGCTGACAGATGGACAGGGGCTGGTGATGATTGATTAATGTTTACAAAACATAAAAAAACAGATATGTTTATTTATTTTGTCAGTGTGCAGAGAAATGAAGTTCTGGGAGTTTACCTTTACCTTTACCTCACTTTCAGCTATCTGCATATTCATCACAGTCTGATGAAACCTTTCTTTGACAAACATGACCGTGTGTCTTGATGCATGCAGTAATTTAAATTTCAATTACTTTTCATGGGCTGTTGCATATTTTAACCCATTAACTCAGTATTTGGTAAACTTTCCTGCCATCCATCCCGTGAGCCATGCAGTGTTTTTAGATTGATAACCTGTTTTGTAAAGGACCAATGGTTTCTATTAATATCAGTGCACTGTGGAAACCAACTCAGCCGCCTCTGAGATGAGATAAGATGGGTCATTCATCACACACACATGAATAAATTAGTCCAAGTCTCGTCTCTTTTGGTACCCGAGGTCTGACTAAGAATGACATAAATAAAGATATTTTTTTAAATTCTGATTTGTGTTTGTAATGCAGAACCAACAGACACTCTATTTTTACTCTAGAAGATTGTGATCACACATAAAGCTGATTAAATCTCAAGAATGGGGTGAAATGAAGCTGTTTTCCGCAGGAGGGGGAATCGATTGGCAGCAGCTTCCTGCAGCTTGTGGTTGTGGACAGAGACACTCCAAAGAACGGCCCACCTTTCTCTTTCCACATCGTCAGCGGAAACGAAGATCACCGTTTTCATGTTGACCAGGGTGGCCTGCTGTCACTTTCTGCTCCACTCAGGAAAAAGACCAAACCCTTCCATCAGCTCAAGATCCAGGTAAAAAGGCTGTAATGCAGCCAACTTTCATCTATTTTCACCTGTTTTTTTTCTAGATTTAAAGCCAAGCTAAACAAATTCCAATGTTTTTAACCAAACATCATTGAATCTCTCAGATTATTTCCTTTGATTTTCAAACTAATTTGACTTTTCTGAGATTCTAAGAAAAGAGTGAACTGTGCAGCTACAACATGCTGATGCAACCCCAGTGTTCGTCGAGGCATCTGTAACTGGTCAGGAGCAGTAGATTAGTCAGGCAAACTGTGCATGAGGAAAGTGAAGCTGAATGAAGTCCCTCAGCAGCTGAATGTCCAACTATTAGACAGTTATCTGATTTCAAAGATCGGAGGCCAGTTTTTCCAAGTGGTGTCTCTGTTGGTGGCAAAAGGCAAACATTTCAAGAGATTTTCGAAAATCTCTTGAAATGTTTGTGAAAATTCGCAATTTCCTTCCTGAAGTTGCATAGCCATCTCTGTGTCACTAGATTGTGGACAGTTGAAAAGTTCTCTCTTGAACCAGTTTTGGTTTTGTTTCTACAAGTCAGAAAGTATGAATACTGTCAGATAACTTTTGGAAGGGTTGGCAATTAAACTGTGATTAACAAATGGGTGTTCTGGTGAAACTTGAAAATGTTGCATATCATGCAAAAAATCATTTATTCCTTTATACATTGCTCTGCTTTTTTCAGATGTCATACATTTATGTATTTAAAATCTTAGTTTTATTGATTTAATGTAAAATTCTAATTTTCTGAGATTTTGAGTGCGGGGATTTCATCAGCTGTAATCACAGTTAGAACAAATAAAGGCTTGAGATATCTGCCTTTACATGTAATGAGTCTGACTCATGTATTACTTCCACATTTTAGTCACATAAATGAACTTTTGCACAAAATTCAACTCTTCCAAGTTTCACTTGCATGGTGAAGAATTTGTGACATCGTTTAGACCCTGTGACTACATTTACGCAAACAGTAATAAAGTAACGCTTTAAACTGGGTTTTTATATTTTTCTTATTTAGGTGACAGACAGCGGCCACCCTCCTCTGTCTTCCATCTGTGTGGTCAACATTAATGTCACTGAGCAGAGTAAATACCCTCCCAGTGTTGTCCCCCTGGAAGTTTTCATCACCACTGCAGGAGAAATGTTTTCTAACCGGGTCATCGGCAGACTCCACGCAACAGATCAGGACGTACAGGACATCCTGACCTATACACTGGTGTCAGAAAACCCAGACGGGAAAAGATTCTCCGTAGAATCAACAGATGGAAAAATCTGGGCAGACGAACACCTGGAGGAGGGCTCTTATACTCTGAATGTCAGCGTGAGTGATGGAAAGTTCAGTGTGTGGGCAGGGGTCAAAGTTCACGTGTGGGAAGCCAATCAGAAAGCGCTGGACTCTGGCTTGACGCTGCAGTTGGACAGGATGTCCCCAGAGGAGTTTCTGGGTGATCACTGGAGAGGTCTTCAGCGCCTGATGGCAAACGAGCTGGGTCTAACTAAACAGGAGCTCCACCTGGCCAGCCTGCAGCAGATACCTGACACCCAGGTTCTTGAGGCTCTGCTCATCTGGAGGCCAAAGGGCCAAAGTGTCCAGGCCCTGCCAACAAACAGACTAGCAGGTGAGCTTTCAAAACCTATTCATAAAAGCTGTAATCACGGTGAGGCATGCTAACTGAATAACACTTTGATGTAGGGATTATATCGAACATCGAGGATTTTACAGGCCTGAGAATCCTCAGGGTGAGCCACGACGGATGTCTGGATGCCGGCTGCCCACCCCGAGGTTGCAGAAATGCTGTGCTGCTGTCAGGAGAGAGACTCAATCATTTCACCACAGCCAGGGCTGGTTACATCACCCCTCAACACACCTGGGAGAGTGCCTGCACCTGTAACGGTACGTCAGCCTTCTATCTTCAGCTTCAGAAAGCTGGTGATCACAGTGTAGATATGGGCATTGATGTGAGTGTGCCTGGGCTAGGAAGTAAGCTGTAGTACTTTTGAACAGAAGAAACATTTTGTAATTAACACAGTGTTGGAGGTCTAATGCTCTAAAGATGAGGATGAGTCTGATGCCTGAGAGCCCTTGTAGTTTAATTAAACAGTTGATCTGGTTCAAATCTCATGAGGAAAATGAGGTTACGCTGAGTAGTTACCAATGGTGCTTTAAGTGGAAATAAATAAATGTTGGTATTAACCTCAAAGTACTAACTGAAAGATGGACTGAGAGTGTCGGAGGTTTGACTGATAAATGGCCGGAAAGAGTCCTGGAATGCACGGTAGATTAGAAAACATTCCCAGTACGATGACGGGTACAATTCTAAAGTACCTGTAAGGCGTACCGGCCCCCTAAAGCACTGACACCAGAAAACACTCTGGGTGTGTAGTCTGGCCACGCTCCATTGACGGCTCTCGGTTGTGGGGCGGGTTCTACCGTTGTCTTTCAAATGATCTCCGTATTCCACTGGACAATGAATGTGACATACTCTTGTTTCACTCTGTTGCATCATCCCACCCACCAGGCATATAGAGTGCCCTGATTGGCCCACAAAGCGGATAAAGCTCTGTAATTTGTTCACTAAGCAGATAGAGCACTATGATTGGCCCACCATTATGGACCAGTCACAGCTCTTTATGTGTTTGAAACCCCTCTAGAGAGTTGTGATTGGCTAGCCAGAGTCCTGGTAGGAGCTGCGGAGGTTCCAATGGAGCATGCCTAGACCAAACTTTGCAAAGCAAGAATTTGGTCTAGTTCACTAGGCTACTGGGTGTGCACAAAGGGAAGATATCTATTATTTTCTTCTCCTACAGAATCGCATCCCTAAGTCGCATCATTGGTGAGTTTAATGAGGCACGCTGCTAATACGATCCCTTCATGAAGTTACTACTTTACACCCGAAGATAAAGGTGTCATTTTGATCAACACTTATGGTTACGCTTCTATTGAAAGTTTCTGATTTTATAGAGTTTAAAAACGCCCCTCATCGGGAGGCTCCTGACCGAGGAGAGCAGATGATCGGAGCACACAGAGGGCGAAAACTAGAGAGGAAAAATGTACAATGCTGACAGGTTTGTTGTTGACAAGGCTCTTTGTCTGGTAATGGCTGACTCAGAATTTAAAGATGAATATTCACCCATGATGAAGATGTTCACTTGTCCAGTACGATGAGAAAGTGACTTAACAAGTGTAAAAAAGCTGCACGCATTGGGTCCGAAGCATATTTAATGGTGTTTGGTATGTGGTTGATAAAGAAACACCACTAAAATAAAAATAAAAACTGTAAAAACACCACTAATTGTGGCAGACGTAGTGAGAATGTAAAATCATTAAAAATGTAAAAAGCGGCAGACATGGTAGATATGAAAGTGAGAGCGCATCACATAATCAACACGAATATTGCACATATTCCAGCTATCTCTGGTCCACACAAGGAACTTTCCTGGGATCAATTAATGATTACATTCAAAGGAAGGTTGATCCTGAAGCTGTGCAAGGCCAGAAAACCTTAAAAATATGGTTATAAAGCTTTTGTTTTGAGTGAGGCCAATTTGAGTATCACATCTCCAACAATTGTGCAGTCCAATGTGGCAGCATCATATTGTTAGATTTAGTTGTTAATTGTTAGATGTTAGATGAGCGACTTTGTTCCCATCACAAACTTTGTGTCATACTGAAGATTTTTCCCATCTACAGTTTACCTTTATCTCCAGCCATTTTCAAGTTAAAACCTTTTGATATAGTCATACTATTTATTTATTTATTTTTTCCTCTGGAGCCTAAAGGGCTATAAGATTCACCAAAATGCCAAAAATAATGACTACACATCTACAGCACTATTAGACATAATTTTTACAGTTTATGAGCAAAAGAAAGTTGTTTACTGTCAATCCTACTTTTTAAAAGTTTTATTTCACAGAATAAGAGCATCACTGTCTCAAGGATTACTAAAAGAAGCATGTTTGGATGAGATCTGGAGTCTGGAGGCATTTAAATCATTTAATTGAGTCATCTAATCAGTAAAGGTCCACTGGTTTGTTATTAGTATTTTCTAAGACCCTTTTCTCCAAGAACCATCAAACTCTGACCTCTTTGACACATCCTTAATGTGACAATGTGTATTTTTTACCATTAATCTCTGGAAATATCCATCAAAATGTAAATGAATTGTTGTTGAAAAATGTTGGAGGTTTCATAACGTATGACCATAACAATCTGTTCTAAAATACTTGGGAGCATGTCTGTGGACAATACCATACCGGATGTCATGTTTCCTTCTATGGGAGCCCGTGAGGACAAAATGCATTAACTGATTTGTTACAAATGATTACAAAACTTTCACCATTAATAAACGTTGTTGTTTTACACATTTACCTCTTCACTCATTGCCACTGATGAAAGGCAGTCTGATGTTATTTTGCTGGAAGTTGCGCTCCCAGGAATTTTTGACCCTAATGGCCATCCGTTGGTAAGGTCTTATTTGAACACAAAATTAATGCTTTTTTGCTATAATTTAGGTTTGTACTGCCTCTTATCGCCAGGGGAAATAGGCACTGTAACTTTCACTTTTTTCATGTCTGTGTTTCAGAATCGGCTCTGAGGTTTGACAGTAAGTCCTATCTGAAGTATTTCCACGGGATAGACGAGGACAACCAAGAATTCAGGCTCTCTCTGAGATTTAAGACTTTCCAGCAACAGGGACTCATCATGACCACAGATGGTGCCAGCGACTGGGGCGCATTGCAGGTATTCATCCGTCTGAAGCAGAGGGTCAGAAAGCAGAACTCCAACTGGGGGTTTTGTCATTCTTGTGACTCCCTAGCTCTTTTAAAAAAAATTATGATGTGGATAAAATTGTTGGTACCCTTTAGTCAATGAAAATCCCACGATGGTCACAGAAATAACTTGAATCTGACAAAATTAATAATAAATAAATATTCTATGAAATTTAATCAATGAAAGTCAGACGTTGCTTTTCAACCATGCTTCAATACAATTGTTTAAACAAATAAACTCATGGAACAAACTGGACAAAAATGATGGTACCCCTACCTTAATAGTAGGCTGCACAACCTCTTGAGGCAATCATACAATTCCTATAACTATCAATGAGACTTCTGCACATGTTAGCAGGTATTTTGGCCCTCTCCTCATGAGGAAACTGCTCCACTTGTTTCAGGTTTGAAGGGCACCTTTTCCAGATGGCATGTTACAGTTCCTTCAAAAGATGCTCAATAGGATTGAGGTCAGGTGTCATAGAAGGCCTCTTTTGAATAGTTCAACGTTTTCCTCTTAGCAATTATTAGATGTTTTTAGCTGTGTGTTTTGGGTCATTGTCCTGTTGCAAGACCGATGACCTGCGAATGAGACCAAGCTTTCTGACACTGGCCAGCACATTTCTCTCTTGATAGTCTGGAGGTTCATTGTATCCTGCTCAGATTCAAGTCACCCTGTGATGCAGCAAAGCAGCCCAAAACATAACAGAGCCTCCTCCATGTTTTACAGTAGGGTCAGTGTTCTTTTCTTGATATGCTTCATTTTTCTGTCTGTGAGCATAGAGCTGATGAACATCTGCAAAAAGTTCCATTGTTGTCTCATCTGTCCATAGGACCTTCTCCCAGAAGCTTTGTGACTTGTCAACATGTAGTTTGGAAAATTTCAGTCTGGCTTTTTTATGATTTGTTTTCAACAATGGTGTCCTTCTTGGTCGTCTTCCATGTAGTCCACTTTGGCTCAAACAACGGTGGATAGGGCGATCTGACACTGATATTCCTTGAGCTTGAAGTTCACCTTGGATCTCTTTAGAAGTTTTTCTCAGCTCTTGTGTTACCGCTCGGATTATTGTGGATCTTATCGATCTTGTGGATTCCCCCCCCCCCCCCCCCCCCCCCCGACTACCTGAAGCCCTGTATACAGTATAGGCCCACTGAGTGATTAGCCTTGGGGTTAAACTGGATGCCGATTTGTCAATCAGTGTGTTTACATGCAGCCAGTAACCCTTTTAAAACCTGAATATTCACAATAACCCGGTTCCGCACGGCCATGTAAACACCGCCGAAAACCTGGATATGCTCATAACCGGGTTTTTTAAAACCCGGTTACTACACCTGGGGTAACCCTTTTCTAACCCGAATGTTTGGTCGTGTAAACGCATTCCGGGATATCCCCATCAAAGCGTGTGTTCTGCGCATGCTCTGTTCGCAAGGAATCTTGGTCTTTTGAGTAGCGAGACGTCTTGTATGCGCCAGAACACCGGAAGTAAACAACAAGTTGGGAGCAACATGGCGAGTCGCGGCACAGCACCACACTTTTGGAGTGACGAGGAAACCTCTGTCTTCATCGGTCTGGTGAAAAGTATGAGCATTATGTCTTTTGTTGACGGCCGAAAGTACAGAGACAGCGAAATATGAGGCATATTGCATCTTGACGTAGTCCAGCCGTCCTGGCGCTACCCCAACGTCCGCATTTAAATCAGGTTATGCAATTTAGGGGTAACTCTTTCTATTTATGCTTGTAAACGGGTTATTCTGATCAACTCAGAAACCCGAATACCGACCTTAACCCGATCATAACCCGGATATTGGCTGCATGTAAACGTAGTCAATGAGTGCACATGTTAATGCCACTGTTCGATCCTGCTTCTTCCAGCTTTGTCGCCTTACCCGACTAAAGCCCATTCTTAAGAGGCCACACTTAAAATCTGTTATTCATGCTTTTATCACTTCCAGACTCGAATTTTCCAACTCAGTTCTTATTGGTGCAAATGTATCTGTCCTCAGTCATCTGCAGAAAGTCCAGAATGCCGCAGCAAGATTTCTTTCAAATACAAATAGACGCTGTCACATCACTCCCAGTCTGGCTGATATTCACTGGATTCCTGTGCACTTTTGAGTACAATACAAAGTTTTAACTTTTGCCTACAAAGCCCTGAATGGTCTAGCCATCTTATATTTGTCAGAGCTGCTCACCCCCTACATCCCCTCCCGGTCACTAAGGTCTGCTGACCATCTACTCAACGTTCCTAAAATGAAGTGTAAAGCTCGTGGGGAGCATGCATTCGCCTTTGCTGCTCCCAGACTCTGGAACACACTCCCTCTGGTGGTATGCCAGGCTTCCTCACTGGCACAGTTTAAATCCAGCCTAAAGACACATTTCTGTGATTTAGCTTTGGGCCAATGATTGTTCTTTTATGCTGTGCCTTTGTTCTGTTTTTTGTAGCTTCTATTTTTACTGACTTCTCTTTTCATTCACTTCTGTCTTTATTGGCTGTTTTAATTTTTGTTTTGATTTTAGGTGTTTCTATTTTATGACAGTTTTTAATTGTGTTTTATGCATATGTATGTGAATTAGAATGGCTTTTTAGGTTCAATGTGCAGTGCTTTGGTCAGCTGGCATGCTGTTTTTAAATGCGCTATACAAATAAAATTGGATTGGATTGGATTGGATGTCCCTTTGGTCACAATGTTTTCAGTCTTTTCTAGGGGTACCATCATTTTTGTCCAGGCCTGTTCCATGTTTATTTTTTAAAAATAGTTCAGTTGACGCATGGTTAAAAAGCAATGTCTGACATTCACTGGTTAAATTTCATAGAATTGTATTAATTATAACTTTTGTCAGATTTAAGTTAGTTCTGTGACCATTGTGGGATTTTCTTTTATTGACTGAAGGGTAACAACAGTTTTGTCCACGTCTGTAAAACAGATCATTCTAACACTCGAGGCAGAATAACCAAACGGCCAAGATATATTTAAGGCTGAAAAATTGCTGTATCAGTTTATTTGGATATTTTTAAGAAGTTAGCTAATGCTGAGGTTCCTACGCTACAGTTTTCTTGCTGGTCCAAGGCCCAAATCAGAATAAAGTAAAGGCCTGTTAGTATTCTTTAATAAAACATCATCACCTCTATGTTAGAAATGCCACAACAGCACAGAAGGATAAAACAGAAAGAAGCTGCGACACACACAAATCATTATGATTCTAATTAAAGAAACCAGAGTCGTTATTTCCATTCATGAGGGAAGTGTAAGTATTTGCCATGTTCTCCCCAGAGCTGGGGGTAATTTATTCTGCCATTCCAGTTTGACTGCCGCAGAAAGATTTAATCTCCTCCTAATTTTCAGATGCTGTTAGAGTAATATTGTTGTTTGACACTAATTTACAACCAGGAAGATAAAATCAAGGAGAGGCTGATTTAATCAAAAGAAGATATCCCAGAGGAACACGGGCAGTTTCATTTCCAGCTCAATCACACAGATGCATCTGAAAAGTTCAAGTTCAGTTCTGCAAAATAATATCATATGGTTTCTTTTTTTAATTGCTTCTTAGCAAGCATACAGTCATGTTAACAATGCAGCTGCCATATGTTTTATATGTTATGATTTTGACCCAAACACTTTGGATCCGGACTAGTAACATAACCCGTTTTAAACCACTAAAAATGTAGATACTGTCCTTTGTAGTGGTCTAAAAAGAAGAAAAGGTTTGTTTGTGCTTCAGTACAAAGTCTAGTGAATGGAAACAATGAAATAAAATCAAACTGTGTTTGAAAAAAAAAAGTTGATATGGACTTCAATGTTGGTCAGTCACATGTCCTAGATTATTATTCATCAGAAAGCTAAATGGGTTATGGCGGAACATTCTTCAAAAGCAGCATTCAGGAACCTGGGGTTCCTCTTCATTATGCGTTTGTGAGAAGAAAAAAATAGCAGAAAACATGTCAAATTGAATTTCTAAACATTGGAGAATGTTTTATGTTTTCTTTAGATGTCCATGAATTACTAAACAATAGCTGTGCGCTTCTATCCCACTGGAACGTCAACTATTTCATCTCATATGCTGGAAGCTCATTTCTGAACCTGAGCTTACACTGTTGGCTGCAGCTGATTTGTTTTATTCGCTCATGTAAAATCGCCTAAAGTGGATCAACACCTTTGAATTGAAACAGTGACTGCATGAATGAGTAGCTGCTGTGGTAAGCTGTGAAGAGCAAGTAAAGGTGACTGGTCAGCCGTTGATTTGGAGTGACAACGTAGACCTGACAGCGGAGCAGTTTGCACACTAGACAGTTAGCAAGGCTGTACATCCACGCTGATGTGGAATCAGTGGACCAACACTCGCTCGTCACGCGTGCCGTGGTAACACAATCTGACTCAGGTGTCAGCTTAGGCTTTTATCTTGGCCGGTGAGCAGGAAAGGATTCTCACAAAAAATCGTGTGATATTTTGCTGCAAAGGGTCTTTGACGACAAGGTTGGATTATTTGCCAAATCCCAGCAGTGTTATTCTCTTTAGCAACAAAACTATTTAATCACTTGTTATATTGGCCTTTCAGATTTTGTGTTAGTGGGCCCAGCAATCTGGTTACATTCTTACTTTCCATAATTTATCCACTCATATTATTCTCATGAATGTAGTTCTTTTATTTTATTTTTTTCTGTTTGAAACAGCTTTGGCATCAACTATTTAGACTTGGGCTTTTCTTTGAGTCAAGAGCAGAAAGACGTACTTAAGTGCTTTATTTAGAAAAATGATGTAGTTATGTCTTCTTTGACCATGTATGGTGGACTGCCCCGTTGACTGACATCTGTAGTTGCTTTAGTAGATATTCGGCTAACACACAAACACCTTTTTGTAGTATATATTAATCAGTGAATGTTTGGATTGCAATGTATTATTTCAAAACAGAGAGAGTGCACATTAATGTATAAAACACACAACTCTGTAAGCTAAGGCTAGTTGGAGAGAACCATCAGAGCAAACATATTCAACAATTATTAATAAATCCTCTTTTATTGTGTTTCCCTGAGTTTGAAAGCCTACCATTGTTGTCCTTTCTGCGATCTGGGATATTTCTGCAGACAGCATTTCTCATTTGTATGGATGAAAGCTCCCAGTTCACCTAGTTAGATCTGTGGCCTGTAAGAGGCTCAGCAGGAGCTGTCAGGTTTGAGTGTTTGATAGCTTTCATCATCTCAGCTGTATTTTGATATTAAGATCAGACAGCCTGTAAACTACAGGCTTACTTCTGGCCTTTTAAGCCAACCTTATATATTTGTTACTTTATGATTTTGTACTATAGTCAGTACTATATATACTTTTGTCCTATAGCCAGAAAATTACGAGTCCAGTAGAACTCTGATCCCTTGACTGTGAGGTTTGTCATATTTAATTTACTTTTCTCCCCTAGGGAGAAAAGTGTTCCTTCTTTATCAAGGCATACATATATTCAGATATGTTATTCTTCGGTCTGATGTTATTAGTGTGCAGATAGATGTAACCACTAAGCTATCCCCACGTTGCCGAGTTATTACAACGAACACACCAAGACACTGGGATCAGAGAGGCTTTGATCGCTGCAGGCGTGTAGCACCGTTTCCTGCCTTCATTCTGTACAATACCACCGCTCCTGAGTGCGTGAGCGCAACATTCCAGCTGAAGACGAGCACGAAGCTGCCGTGAATCTAAAATGAACTGATGACAGAATTAAAGTTTTGTGGGAAACACTTGCAGCAATCGTGTCTGCTCTGTGACTAATAGTCTTCAAGGTGCTCCAGCGCTGGAAAGCTTTAGTCCCAATGGGGTTTGTCTTGACACAGTTCACGTGCTACATCGACTGTGCTGATACTGTGAAAAGGTCTGTGCATCAAACTCTGTTACCACTCTTCATTTCTCCAACATAAATCATATGAGATGTCACAATAAGTCTTGGAAAAAAGATGAAAGACAAGCTGCCTGAGAAGGAGCTTCTCATTTTCAAGTTTAGCCCTTCCACAAGGAATCGGTTCTTTTGATTTCTTATTTTATTTTTCCTGCCATCAAGGGATATGATGGAAAGGCAGGGTGAGAAAACATAACAGCATCACTGCTGGCACAGCCAGAAATCCAGTTTACAACAAAACATGAACACAGATGCTCAAAGAAAGAGAAAGAATCTGATCATTCATTATGATTAAAGTATTAGGAGTCGAGTGCATTGCTATCAATAATGCATCGCAGCCTTCAGCGCAGGATAGGGTGATACCAGGCTGTTTGTAAAATACACACTTCTGTATATTTAATATGGAAGAAATGTGTGGAAAAAAGTATTCTGTTGCATAAAGAAAACATGAACAGATAAAAGGTGCCGGGAAAAGCTGCTGGCTTGTTAGTTTTTGGGAGCGCTGAGCGTGCAGAAACACTGAGAGGATTCAGAGAGCGAGATGAAACGCTGAGCGTTGTGCATGACACAATGCATGGTTCTGAACCTGCACCACACAAGGGCCTGACAGCACACACAGATTATTTTTGTAACATAAAAGGGAGTAATGTGGATTGCTTCTTAACATTTCCATTAGTCTCCACAGACCCGACAAAGACCAAAATGTATTTCTGTGTGTTTACAAGTTTGAATGTTGTTTTAAAGGCTATAAAACAAATGTTTTGTAGTTTTAAATGTGGTATTTAAATGACATTATAGATTGTTTGATTATTATTTCAGTAATGTGGCTCTTAATTACAATGAATTACAATCAAATCAGTTTAACGAAGAGGAGAGATTAGGTATGAATTGTCATTAATTGTAAAGTGTCAATTGTGGAACAAAATAACATTTTCCTTTACAATTTAACGATTTAGTGTTTTTTTAAAGGGGAAACACGTGAAACTCACCTTTTGCATCATTTTGTGCTGTAATGAGGGTCTCTACTTTCTCCCATAGACTGTACATACAGCTTTCTCCATAAACAAATAAATAAAATCTGGCCATGTGTTTTCTGTCAGTGATTGGTTTTAAGAATCGTGTGCCTCAAGCAAGCCATTTCTGACAGGTCCCAATTGAGATGTCACAAATGGAAAAGTAGAGTAGAACCACCTACCCTGTGAAACAAAGAGCTATTGTGGAGGAGCTCTATTCGAATTCTCTCCTGGTATCTGAGCGTCTCAGCTTATAGCAGCCCAAGTTGGGGAGGGGTGGGCATGGCCAGCTCCAGTGACCCAAAATAGTCTCTCCTCTCTATGTCCTGTAATATAATTACCTGATAGAAGATAGACTGTAAAACTCTAGGATTTGAAAATCCTGACAGATCTGCGTCACACTGACATTTATAAAGGCTGTTGTTGTTTTGGTGTCCAGGAATCAACAGAGAACGTCTTGGCTAGTAGTAATTGTATTATTTTTGTAACTAAAATTTAAAATGGTGCTGAGGAGTAAAAGAGACTTGACGGTAGAAATGATGTTGGAAAGATTGATAACATCAACACTTCTAATTCTGAAATAGTCTATCTGGCTGCCAATTTAGGTTGAAAAAATATAATTTGTTAATAACAGTAATATAATAGATTATCTGAAAACCTACTAGGTTAATTATTTGACCTTTGCATATAGAAGTCAAATGACAGCTCAAGGCCATTCTAGCAGTGACAGTATCGTGGCTGTTGAGCAAACTGTCAAGCTGATGAATTTTTATTTCTCTGTACAGCTGACCAAAGGAGAGCTGCACTTTGTATACAGATGTGGAAACATCCCTCCTAACAGACTGTTGTTCAGAGCTGATCCAGTGTCAGATGGCCACTGGCACAGCGTGCTGCTGGAAGTCAACACGACAGTGCTGAAACTGATCCTGGACCATCATCATCCAGCTTCCATCAGCCTTACTGAGCCATGCCGCATGATGAAATCCCATGGTGCACTGCAGTTTGCTCCTCTCTCTGCAAGCTCTATTCAGGACTTTGGGTTGGAGACACATCATTTCTTCGGGTGTCTGGAGGGTCTGAAGCTCAACGGCAAGCCGATCATAGGTGGTTCAGCAGAGTGGATGGGGTCAGGGAGCAGGACGGTGTTTGGGATGGTCCAGTGCTGCAACAAATCAGGTGGCTGCAACAGCCTGCGGTGTGAGAATGGAGGAGTCTGCACGGAAGATGAAGCTGGAGGTGAGAATGTGACTTCTCCTATATCTGTTACCTCATTTATATAAAAGAGAAACACAAATCAGAGGAACCGTGGATCAGTAACAGGACTGTTAAACATGTGGCTTCTGAACACATATATATATATGTGAGAGAGAGAGAGAGAGAGAGAGTGAGAGAGAGAGAGAGAGTGAGAGAGAGAGAGAGTGAGAGAGAGCGAGAGAGAGAGAGTGAGAGAGAGAGAGAGAGAGAGAGAGTGAGAGTGAGAGAGAGTGAGAGAGTGAGAGAGAGAGAGAGAGAGAGAGAGAGAGAGAGAGAGAGAGAGAGAGAGAGAGAGAGAGAGAGAGAGAGAGAGAGAGAGAGAGAGAGAGAGAGAGAGAGAGAGAGAGAGAGAGAGAGAGAGAGAGAGAGAGAATATACAAACACAAGCAAACAAATGGATACTGGACCACTACAGTGTTTTCTAAAGACATTGTAGAGGAAATGTTTGAAAAGCACAGTCCAAGTCAGCTCCTCCAAATGCCAAAGAATCCTTACTACTTTGTTTGAAAAACATATCATTAGTGGGAGACATCATAAAACACCTTTTGGAAAAGGCTCCTTCAATTGATACGCTGGTAGCAGAAGACTTTTTCATGCTCTCCAATTCCCTCTTCTCTAGTTTCCAGCGTGTGAATAGTTCAGGCCTTATAGTTTATTGACTAGATTTTCAGTGGAGTGAGAAATATCCACACAGAGCTTTGAATACATCTTGTATGAGTCAAATTTAGGTCACTAAGTATTATTTATATTAATTCCAGTGTTGGGAGTAATGCGGTACAAAAGTAATTAATTACTGTAATGCATTGCTTTTTGCTGTAATATGGTAAAGTAAGGCATTAGAGGGAAAGAAAATGGTAATATTTACTCGGTACAATTGTCAGTAACGCAGTAATTACAATGCATTTTTAAACCCAGAATCAAGATGTGTTCCTTAAAATTCAAATTGCGGAAAACCCGAAGAAAGATCCAGTATCTGCATATATTACGTCATTTATGGACTCAGCTTCGCGGGCAGAGAGGACGCAGCGGTAACGGCTCAACTACTCCAGCGGCGTCCTCCACGCGGCCGCTGTAACATTCACAAAATCGATCCACTAAAACAAAATAATTCACTTGCGATCGTTCATATCGGCGCATATTCTCTGGTATTTTGTGCTTTTCTGACGTGCTTTGCCTCAGCTGAGTTCATAATCTGTGCCCCGGTGATTTCAACTCATTACTGCTGAAGTGCCACGCATGTGAAGATCCCTTTGGCTGATAAAAAGTAGGAATCTAGGAAACAGTTTTTCTGGAAGACGGAGAAAACATGCAGCATGCAGGAAGGTTAGAGAGAGAAAGGGCAGGAAATTATTCAAATAAAATCAAGAAAAAAAGAAAAAAGTAAGTAGATTTATCCCCAATACACATTTTTACCAGTGAAAAGCAATAATATATAAACATTTAATATTTATACATGTGATATAATCAGATCACCCCAGAAGTCAGTCCCACATCCAGGGCCGTATCAAGGCATTTGGGGACCAATGCAAATTTAGGCTTGGAGCCCCCACCACCCCACTCCCTGATCAGTTAATATAAGATGGCAGCGTGCTGAGAGTACAGATTGTTGTTGCTTTTATTTAATAAACAATCATTTTAAAGCACTGTTATTATATCTGACTGTTTTTAACAGCAATCCTAGCTCAGATACCACATCACTTTCCACATACATGTCATGAGATCACTGAGCGTCACATTACCAGATTCATATTGAAGTTCTTTTGGTCAAAGTAACTTAAAGTAATGCAAAAGTAGTGTAATGCCTTACATTTTAAAATCAGTAATATTGTAATGTAATGAATTACTTTAAAATGAGGGTAACACGTAATAAATAATGCATTACAGTTTTGAAGTAACTTGCCCAACACTGATTAATTCACATTTGAGAGTCCACTTCCTTTTGTGGCTTCATGTATTCTTTGTAGGGATGGGAATTCCAGCTCTTTTTAGAGAGCCGCAGCTTTTGGCTAAGCTCACCAAAAAGAGCCAGCCCTTTCGGCTCCCAAGTGGCTCCTCAGATTTTCTGTTGCGTTAAGTATATTTATCACCTAAAAAAATGTAAAACTATATGTAAAATGATTTACTAATGTAAAAAAAAATGCTATACAATAAATATTTATAATTTATATGGATTTATTAACTGAACACTTTAAGAAATCTTAACTTTCTGACTGCTGTCGCTCATTTTCTCACCGTCTTCGTCGCACTCTCCTCTCCCTCGCTCGCCTTTTTACTCCTCCTCATTCCCTCTCGTCTCCCTCCGCCCGCATGTGCTCTGCTGTGTGTCTGAGTCAGATCCTCCCTCTTCCCCGCCCCTACTGTTCTGTGTGTGGACAGTCTGGACACGCAGTTCCACATGTTGACCAATCGCCAGTAGCTTTAACAAAACAGGGGGGGAGGGCTCCCAATGACGAGCCAGCTCCTATCGGTCACTTTATAGAGTCTGCTCTTAGAGCCGGTTCGTTAGCGACCAACACATCACTAATTCTTTGGTGGTTGCAAAAATCTGAGAGTTATTCAGGTTTAAAAAATTGTAATGTAAGATTTTCTAAGTAATTTAGGTTTGTTTTACCTATCTAATCATTTAAAGCCAAACTAAGCAACTTTTTCAACTTTTAAAACATGAGCCAGTATGTGCTAAAATGATCCTACATAAGGTTAATGAAATGTCTCTTAGACCCCCACCACCCTCTGTGGCCAGAATGTGGAAATTACAACTTCAATGTGGCAGGCTGCCACATTGACTTGAGATTGACTTAGAAAAATTGAGCTGACATACCTGGTGCTGCAGTCTGGTTCCAGCACGTTTCTTGCATGTTTTAGATCATGAACACAGCTGATTTGTTTCATTTAATGATGAATCACTCCTGTAGACACTAATGAAGCCTGGGAGACATTTCAGCTGTTAGATTAAAGTGTTAAAAAGGTGAATGCACAGCAAGGAGGTATGTTTCATTTTCAGTTTAAATGCCAAGAATTAATAACAGACACCAGGGGGTGCTATAAGCAACCAAAACTGCCAAGTGAGCCTTTAATCTTTATCCCACTCCTGACCCCCCTTTCTGTTTGCTTATTACAGTATTAGGTTATCAGTGACTAGACAGACACCCCAGTTCTTGATAGAGTCAGCAGCACTACCTTGATTCTGTGTCAGAAAAAAGAAGACATCTTGCAGTTCGATTCAGTTATTTTACTGGAAAGGCCACTGATGAGCACACCTACAATTTCACTGACAAAAGGAGCGTTTAGATGATGTGCTCATGATCTTCACAGTGAGGCTGCGTGTGCGGGCCGTATGTTCTACCTGTGTTCACGTGGAAATCAAAGCAAACACATAGTAGCAAGCGATAAAACTTTCGATGGATTGGAAAATAAAAATAGCACAGTTCTTATCAAAAACTAACCACTACCTGATGTCTTTTTTTTCTTTTTTTTTTTTTACAAAATGTGTGTTTCAAGTCGTGGCTGCATCTCATTTGATTCCTCTCCCTGCACAAGAAGAAACTGGCCACGATGGCTTTGTGATCGCTGAGTGAAAGCATGTAGCTCAGTAGTTCTTCTCTCAGGATTTTATTCATCAGCATGTCAAATCACATTTTAGTTTTGTGCCAGGTACAAATGCAGCGTTGCTGTGGCAAAAAGCAGAACATTTCATATCCCCAGTGATCCTCTCAGGTAAGGGTAATGTATTCAGACAGGTGTTACAAATAATACAGTCTGTCAGGGTGTGTTTTCTACTCATTATTGTTCTTGAGATGTTTGTGAAATGAAAATAATAAAGCTAATGAGGATATTTGATTTAATCCTCCGTTTGACCTAATGCACTAAAACTAACAACACCATGCACCAAGTGGTTGATTGATTAGTTCTTCTGTAATTGGAAAATATTTAGCATTTGTAAAAGATTTGCTTAACTTTTATGTTACATTTAGTTGTTTAGGTCACTTACAAACATCAAACAAACACGTGTTTTCAGATTGGATCAGTTTGACCTTTTGCTGGGAATAATTCCTGTCTGTTGGGGATGCTCGCTGCAGCTTTGACCGGTCGCTCATGCCTCAGATGTCTGAGCGTGTCGTGTTTATTTTTGCAGATCCCCACTGCACATGTGTGGGACTCTTCCATGGCGTTAGATGTGAGCTGCCTGACAATCCGTGCATCTCCCACTCATGCTTCCACGGCAGGGTGTGTATACCGATGGCTCAAGGTTACATGTGCAACTGCTCGACGGACAACTCCGATCTAAGGTACACACACACACACACACACACACACACACACACACACACACACACACACACACACACACACACACAGAAAGAGAGAGAAAATCAATGATGCATGTGTGTCAGTTATACACAAAAACAGTGGTCAAATCAATGTTAGGAAAGTTACTTTTAAAAAGTAATTAGTTTTAGTTACTAATTACTTTGTCAAAAAAGTAACTCAGTTACTTAGAGTTATGAGAATATAAAAGTAACTAATTACCAAGAAAAATAACTACTTAGTTACTTTTTTCATTAAAGAATGCAAGAGAAATGGGTTCCCCTCTTAATTAAACTTACTTAATTTACTATAAATTACTACAATAGTGAAATATAAATGACTAATGACTGGAACATAATAAAATGGATGTCCAAATGTTTTTTTATAAACCTGAATAATTTAAACAAATAAGCACTTAACAAGAGGAACTACTAACAGGAACATTACACTAATCTAAACTACTAAAATGTCACCGTGTGATATTTAACAAGACCCCAATCAGCTAAAATTATACATAGCAAATATAAACACCTTTAAAGGTTCCTGAGCCTTTAAATGGTTTCTCGATCTAGTTAAATTACAGAAAGAAATGTAATTTTGCACAGCATTTTAATTTTTCCAGCTTCACATAGTTGTGTGTTTTTAGTAGCATTTCTGTTGCTGGTAATCTAGTAATGGTTAAATAAATAAATAAATGAAATCCTTTAAAATGACACTAGAAGAGGCACAAACGTGATGGAGGACTTACAATTACTAACTTGGGTCAGACCCAAACACAGAAGAGCTGAAGCTGGGTGGTAAACACACACAGGTAGTTCTAACAACACCTGAGCTCCATGACGTCTGAGACTGACGCATCAGTGTTACAGCGGGACTAAAGACATGATCAGAAACAGGTTACAGCTGGATGATCTAGGAAGGTAGAAGATCAGGACGTCTGAGCGGTGAACAGGTGAGCGGACCTTCGGGACGTCCCGCTGTCACACTAAGAAGGGCACGGCTGCAGATCCACACCTGCAGCCGTAGATATTCATCACGTCTTCCTCGTTCTTCATGGCCGTGATGCACTTGGATGAAAACATCTACCTCTTTAGCTCCTGATCAGCTGATGACAGCTTCAACACACCGCCCTGCTTAACGCACGCATTTTCTTATCAGTAACAGAAACAACGTTTTGATAAAAGAAAACAGTACAAACCCAGCTTGAAAATAGCATTTGTGATCCTCAGTTACAGAAGTCTTCAGAAGAGCCCTGAGCTTTTTCAAGGAGACCAGTGAATTCAGCCTTATTGCAATCTGAAGAGATCCATGATCAGGATGTACCATGTTGCCTCGCTGAAAAATACACAAAAACATCCTGGGAACTTTTAAAATGAATATAAGAACAGCGTTGTGTCAAATGGTAAAATCTAAGTCCTATATCATTTTTGTAAGGAATGAAAATCTCTTGCCATCTTTCATGCTAAGGTTTTAAACTAAGATCATCTCATGATGGAGTCAGAACCAATTTGGTCAAAGCTTGAAAATAACATTCTGATCATGATCGTACATGGTATTGACTTTAAAAGCCAACCAGTAGCCTAACCCCCCCCCCCCCCCCCGCCAACCCCCCCCCCACACAGAGACACACACACACACAAAGGCACACATACGCTGGCTAAATTATAAGGTTTTTTCAGACTTTTTGATGCAAATATGAAAAATAAATTAAAACACATAAACAGCTTGAGCCCAACACTTAAAAAACTGGAGTCATAAAATAAAAACCCTACAGTTCCAACATTCCCAAGTGAGTTGTTGTCAATCGGCAAGCGTACACAAACTGAATTGTAACTAATCCTCAGAGGTATTGTCGTGATCCCAACAAGGCTGAGTAAAAAGAAGAAAACATCACAATCCTCATTATGTGAAACATCCTAGCAGTACAAGCTTGGATTGGAATAACACTCTGCACAGCCTTGAATTTGCGTTTTTATGCAACTGACTAAACTCCTCCAACACATACCAACTTTGCTCATTACCCTTTCACCAAAAAGGTCTGTTCCACTCACACCACCATGGGCCTTCAGAAAAAAGTACAGCTACATTTGCACATTTTTCTTGTTGACTTTGTCTTTGGAATTGCATTGCCCTTCACAGCTGTTGACAGTAATCTATGTTCCAGATGGGGTTTTGAATAACCAAGTGAGTGAAAAATGACTGTTTGCAGATCATAATTGCAGAACGTGGGCGTTTTCTGATGACTTTTAAAGTTTGTGAAAAGGTTTCAATATGTTTGGATGTCGTAATCATTCAAATAAAAGGAAAGCAGTACTTAGCAGAAAATTGCACGTATGATTCTTGTTCTTTAAATAATAATGATGAATAAAGTTCACATGAAACAAAGGTCAGCCACTAAAATGCAGGCAGTTGAAACAAAACGTGCAAAACTCAGCATCTCCCGTTGTCACAAAAACATATTTCAAAATATAATTCATCAATTTAGATGTAAAAATGTTAAAATGGAACACTCAATACTTTATTTTTTTTTCTTTAAAATGCTGTTTGAAAAAGATTTTAGATAAGTGCATCAAGTGAATTTGGCATCTGAGAAATGAGGGATAATAACTTTTTGCTTTCCTTGACGTTGGATGTGCTACTGCTACTTTATCCGTTTAATTATAGATCCACTAGGATAAATACAATAAAGTTTATCTTTCACCGAATAGAATATTTACTAGGAAATCACAATATAACTATAGACACATTACTTGTCTGTGTGTGTGTGTGTGTGTGTGTTTGTGTGTGTGTGTGCGTGTGTGTGTGTGTGTGTGTGTGTGTGTGTGTGTGTGTGTGTGTGTATGTGTGTGTGTGTGTGTGTGTGTGTGTGTGTCTGCTCTGTCTTCTCGATCCCCAGTGAGTCGTGGAGGATGGCTGCTTATACTGAGCCAGGATTCTCTGGAGGTTTCTTCCTGTTAAAAGGAAGTTTTCCTCTCCACTGTCGCTTTATGCTTGCTTAGTATGAGGATTGCTGTATAGTCACTGACACTAGTCAGTGACTTGATGCAATTTGCTGGGTTCCTTATATAGGAAACATTATTTCTGACTGGCTTAATGAACTGTCCTGAATTGGAATGTTTATTATGTGAAGTGCCTCGAGACGACTCTTGTCGTGATTTGGCGCTATATAAATAAACTTGAATTGAATTGAATTAAAAGTGAATGTTAGTCAGTTTTGTGCAAAACCCGAATGATGGCTCTCTGTAGCACCACCTGCACTTATCAATCAGAGCTCCATCGGGTCTTAGGATGGTGTTTCCTGCTTGAAGGGAGGAGATGAAGGGCCCGGTGAAGCTTTTGGTACCATCAGCCAAATTTAACCTTCACTCTCAGGCCAAGGTGGCAGTTTTTTGTGCTGCTGTTGTCTGTTTTGTAAAATCTGGACACACTGGTCTTCTGTCAGTGTGCCCCAGGGCAGCTGTGGCTACATTGTAGCTCATCATCTTCAGTGTGTGAATGTGTGTGTGAATGGATGAATGATACACTCTAGTGTAAAGCGCTTTGGAGTCCTCTGACTCTGAATGGTGCTATACAAGTGCAGGTCATTTATTATCACTCAGTTTCATTCAGTGTTATCTCATTAATCAAACAGAATGCATGTGCAGAAAGCACAAATAATAAAACATAGTTATCACTTTCATGGTTGACATTTAATCACTTTAATCAGTTTTTTTTCAAGTGCAAACAAATTTATTGACTTTTTTTATGTAAATTTGATGAGAAACAAAAACTCTTTAAAATGCATAAGAAGCCATCAGCCTCAGCATATTTTACCTCACACTGGTGAACCTTTGTTGCTATTAGCAGTGCTTCGTAAATAAACTGAAATTTAATTAAATTGAAAATGGCCAAAGTTTATTATAATGTGGGGGTTTAGGGCTTCAAACCTGCTTTAAATGACCATGCATGTCTTTGTAGGTCCATCCTTGATCATTGTATGAGCTTTTTCAAATATACACCAAAAAATGTTCTGTTCTTTTCTGAAGCACATCTTATAAAACATCACAAAAACATCTACTTTTCTTTTGGTCATAGAAAAGCCATCAGGTATTCAACTGTAAACTGATGGAAATTAGAGTTTTCTTTGCTCGCTAACCACCTAATCCTGTTTTCTCTTAGCTGCCACAATGAGGTTGGCGTCTGTTTGCCCAATTTCTGTCCAGGAGGGTTTGACTGTGAGGTCAATGGAGGGACCATCCACTGTGTTTCACTACCTGTGGTCAGTTTTATGGAAAATCTCGATTTTGTGCCTAATTGTATAATTATCCCAAGTCACTCATGTGCCGTCACTTCCTTTCAGGTGTCTCCAGTGAATAGCTATGTGGAAATCTCCATAATCTGTTGCGGTGTGCTAGGATTAGTCTTCTTGGTTGGCATTTTTGTTTGTGTCAGGAAAATCTATGTTCAGCAGAAGAAGAAAACGCCTGCATGTGTTCAGGATTCAAACGGGTAAGTGGGATGGAGTAGCCGTCTTTGTTTTACACAAAATTAGGTCTCAAGTCTCTTTTCGGAGCACACATGTTCCTTTTTTTCCCCAACTTGTTTTATAATCCCAAACATCTGGGTAAAACCTTGGATTAACTGATTAGTTCAGTTAGAACTGAAAATCTGCTAAAAATAATATATAAGCCTGGGGAAACAAAATGTTATGCTGGAGAAAAATACAACTTTCTGTTAAAACTAATTCATTCTTTTTACCAGAGTAAATGTCTTTTTGTAAACTACATATGTCTTGACTTTGAAGTTTATGACTCAGAAAGTTGTACCGAATGGTGCTGATTCAAAAAGTTCCATAGGGTATCTGTGTCACATCAGGCTCACAGACTTTAACTAATTAGAATTTCTTTTTTGTACTAACAGGTATTTCCAGCCCACTCTGGCCAAGAGCCTTAAACCAGACTGCCAGGAAGGTAAATCCATTGAGATGAACTTAGTCAGCTCCACCAACAACTTGGACCACACACCGTTCAGGTCTCTGAGGCCTCGCAGCCAAATTGGTTCTTCAAGTGCTGGATCCCTAAAGACCCATGGGCCAGTTGTGTGCAGCGTGGCTCCCAACCTTCCTGCCAGACCACCATCAAGCTCCGACAATGACTCCATCAGGAAGGCCCGCTGGGATATGGACTATGAAGGTGTGTGTGAGTTTGACACCAATAACAACAAATTATTTAAGACAGCTATTGTGAGCTTTGTCCTGAATACAGAAATGCTTGAATTATAAGTGATAATCTGGACTTGAAATGAAATTATTGATACACAAAGGTTCTTTTTGATCAAAGCAGACCTTTTTTACCCATCCGTCATGATGGCTCAGTAAATGAACATCGACAGATATTGTAATGGCAGTTTTAGGCAGGGATGGAATATAAATTGGCTTCAGTAGAGTGTTTTGTGGAAAAAATATGATGTGCCACTTAAGCTCAATCACTTGTAGGTTTCTTCCTAAAGTTTTTAAAGACATTCTATGTGTTAGCTGATAGTTTTCTAGTGTAGTTTCCTGTTTTACAGTTAGTTTGCTCCCTCATCTCCTCAGTAAATCAGCATCTCACACACCTTCCTTCATCTGAAATTTAACCCCGCTGCTCCTTATTCCACTAGTCACACCCCTGGTTGCTAGCTCTATCTTCTGTCATGATCAGAGGTGACTATATAACCCAAACTGCAGACAAAGGAAGAATAGAACAATGTAAAAGCTCAAAAATAGAGTTAAAAAGCTGACATGGCAGCAAAAGTAAAATCCCAGAGAACCAAGAGGTTAGCAGGAAACTGCAACAATTTAAGGTTATTTTTATGGACTGAGGCTTTGATTGAACACCAAAACCCTAACACTGTGACAAAGACCATCAGGTCCACCTGTTAACAGCAGAGTTTCTTAGTCCCAATACTCGCACTTCCACCCTTGTGCCTTTCAGTCGCCCATTCCCGGCCAGTGATGTGTGTGCGTAGGGCGTCCCGATACTCAAAGTCCATTGATGTTGGCAGAATATGGAACTCAGACCAGACAGAGAGCTGGATTATTGGGTACATCCAAAACAAACTATAGCAGCCAGAATGCATGGTGTGACAATGGCAAGCATGTCTCACTCTTTAGTCAACTCCCTCTACTGGTTATTCACATATTGCATCTTGCAAACGCATCACATTAATTTTAGGGGACGGGCACAGACAACGCTTCAAACAAACACAAGTTACGCATGGCAGCCATGGTAAACATGCATGTGTTGGAGCCGTTATATTCTCATGCTCTTACGCTCTATAAGTAACTTTGATTTATTCTGATATTAAACTTGACTATTCATTTATTTTAGTTTTGTTTAAAGAGGAATTGTAAAAAATAAAATTACACATCAAACATTGCAAATGAGATTTTATGTAAAGAACACATGGCCAATGGCCTTTTTTGTGCCTAGGAAACTACTAAAAGTTCAATCTTGTGAAGAAAAAAATTACAGACAATAGCAATAAAGACATGATAAAACATGCTAACACAAATACACTACTCAGGTAACTGGGGACAATGAAATATGACGATACGTATGAAAACAAAATTGTGAAAATGTTCACAAGTGATTCCTCTGAGAATTAAAAATGTAAAACTGTTGCTTTTGGCAACCTATCGAAAATGTGAGGATTTTTTTAGACAAAGAGAAATTGTCCAAAGGTTTCATTACTTTTCTTTTAGCTGCTAACCTGTGCAAATGATTTAGTAGGTACATTGTAAGAATGCCTTAATTAGAGCAAGTGAAAATGTGTGATATTTTCAAAGCCTAATAAATTATGCTAGGTACCAAATTTGCTGTTTTCTAAGCTAAACTTTTCAGAGCTTTTTTCTTTATTTAAAACCCACCACAGAATAAACAGCGATGCAACAGGAGATAACAAAGAGAAAAGAAACATATAAAATTCACATGTATCAGTCTTGGAGACGGAGAACTTGGCATGTTGGCTTCTTTGATACTCCAGCTGCAGGTGAATTAAAGTGTCAATAAATGAACGCTCAATAATCAGTCAACTTTCCAGGATATTTCAAAGGCTCTAGCTGAACAGTGCTTGATAGTAAACATGTATTTGATGTTGATGCAGCACAGTCGTCCAGGACAAGATGCTGACTGAACTCAGGAAGATGAAGCATTCATAGACGAGGTTGAATGGATGCAATAACATTAAAAACAAAATGATTTGTCCTCCATCGCTACTTGTCCATCTTCCACTTTGTCTTTCTGCAACTGATTCATCTCTATCTCTGACTTTGTATTTAATCTCTCTTGTCCTTTTGTTCTAGGAAAAATCTTTTCCCCCTGTCCGGTTATTCTTGTATAATTTACCGTATTTTCACGACCATAGGGCGCACCGTGTTATAGGACGCAGCTTCAGTTACGGGTGGCGCACCGGGTTATGGGGCGCGGGCGCGGTAAAACGTACCGGTAAAACATCTGTGCGGGCTCGGGACTCGGAACATATCAGTGCAAACCAGACATTGTGAAAATAATAAACAGCCAAAAGCATGCTTCACTTTACTGGTCTAGTCCTGGTTCAGACCTGGTTTAGAGCGCACGTGCACTTCCTCATTGAGTGCACTGATGGCTCTTGCTCTTCTTATGCGATGTGTTGAAGTTCAGAATGTGTTTACCGGTAGTTGGTGGATTTAACCACATAAACTTTCCACATGAACAAAATCATATGTGTGTTATTAATAGGCCTAAGAAAATAGTGTGATTTGAATTGTGTTTTATTAAAAAAGGCAGCGGGAGCAAATATGAGTTTGGTTGTGCTTTATTTGAGTGCTATTAATTAATCATCAAATCCATCAAAGTCCTCATCTTCTGTATCTGATAAGAACAACTGGGCTAGAGTACAGTCAAACCCGCCAGGTTCTCTCTCATCAAACAACAGTACAAGTAGACACATTAGCCCAAGCATTTACAATCTATTCACAAATTGTGGCGTAACTCACCCGGCGTTGCCTCCCAGTCTTCGTAAATGTGTGTTCTCCATCTCTCATCCATCGCTCCCACGCCGTTCGCAGCATTACTTTGAACGCCTTGTTCACGCCATTGTCCAGCAGTTGGAGCTCCTTTGTCAAGCCTCCCAGAATGACAGTGAGCTCCGAGTTAATTTGCTTCACCTGTTTTTTCACATCGTCCGTGAGATGAGCGCGCATGGAGTCACAGATCAACAGGGACGGTGACGCGTGGAAAAAACCACCTGGTCTCTTCACATACACCTCATTCAGCCACTCTCATTTTGTCCTCATCCATCCAGCCCATAGCCTTAACGATGACTCCAGCTGGAAATTTCTCTTTAGCCAGTCTTCCTCTTAAAAATCACCATAGGTGGCAGTTTCTGTCCATTAGCATGGCAGCCAAGCACAACAGTAAAAGCAGATTTTTCGTGTCCCGTTGTGCGTATCGCCGCTGCTCTGTTCCCGTGTTTCTCCGCGTAGCTGATCGGTTGCAGTTTAAACTGTGCTTCATAGGCGTGTCTCTTAGCAGGTGCCATTCTCAGGGTTGTCAGAACAATGTTCAGCATACTACGCATACCTACCCTTTACAACTATTCGGGGTCTGTCTTTGCTCACGTCCGCATGTTCACGCTACGCCCCTTGTCTTCAACTACATTCGTGTCTCACAACAACACAATAGGTGCACCGCACCATAGGGCGCGGCGTACATTTTGGAGAAAATTTAAGACTTTTAAGTCCGCCTTATGGTCGTGAAAATAGGGTAATCATTTATTGCAAATCTCTTTTTTTAATTCCTTGTCCTTGAATTAAGTTAAAATCAATTTACTTAATTCATATAAGTCCAACTGAAAACCCTTTATCAAAGTGCAAATAGATAACTCTTTATTTTCACTGTATTCCATAAATACCATATTGCATTTTTTCCCAAAACATTGGTGTTTCCTTATTCCCAAATTCGATCTCAAATAACCCTGAAAATCATATATATATATATATATATATATATATATATATATATATATATATATATATATATATATATATATATATATATATATATATGTCAAATCACAGTTTAGTCAAAAGTGTTTCTGAATAAATCTTTTGATTGCAAAGTGATGAACAGGTAGTGGGAAAAGCAGCTTTTTGGAAGCATTTGCTGAATCCATGGGTCTTTTTCCTCTGGAGTTTCAGATAAAAGATAAATTGAAGAATTGTTCCTGTGTGAGGCCCATGCTGCTCCGTCTTTGGACTACGTTTATCTTCATGTCTCTTTCTGTAAACAAAATATTTCCTTTCTGAAATTGATTTAAATTCTCCACACACAAATAAACAAGTTAATGTTTTTTATGTAACACTTGTTACAGACAGAAGTCATAAAGTTCTTCACAAAAATCCACCAAAATGGACAAAAATGTTCAAAACAGTAAACAGATGTAAACATTTAAGTTTAAGTTTAACTAAACCCAGAAATCTGTTGAATGATTCGCTGAAGTGTAAAGGGCTTCGGAGTCCTCTGACTCGGACAGGCGCTATACCAATACAGGTCATTCTTATTGAGAAAAGTGGCTGTCACTTGTTGGCAATATTGATCAGGGGCCTCATTTATCAAGCTTGCTTATGCACAACACGGGGTCGGAAAACTGCGTAAGCAACTTTCCACGCAAACTTTGGGATTCATAAAAGAAAATATAGCAGAAAAATGTGCACAACTTTAAGTTGATTAAGGACCTGGCTTACGCACATGTTGGACATGGAGAGCACCTGCAGTGCTGCTGCTGCTGAGAAGGATAAAATTATGAATTCCAGCAGCATTATCCCTTGTACTGCTTCGTGCGCACACAGAACAAGAACCCTGATCCCTGATCTTTGGAAATGTTCTGAGATTAAACAGAAGGAAAAAGACCCTGTTTGGAGAAATAGTATTTATGTCGTTGAAGGTCGATGGGGTATTACTAATCTGACAGCAGCCAAGAGCAGAATGTATTTAATAAAAGCGTCTATCTCCTAAATTTCAAACTACAAATAAACAATTATTTTGATGAAAATAAATGTGTAATACAAAACTGAAGGTAGGAGTTTATAAAATAATGTTGCATGAAGTGAGTTTCCCTCTCCACTGTGGCTACATGATTGGTTAGTATGGGGATTGCTGTAAAGTCTCTGACA